GTGTTGGTGAAAAATATATAAAAACTGCAGCAAATGCGTCTTGACCCTATAACCTTTGCTATAAGCTTAAATCAGGCGCATGCATTCTACCAATTAAACAACTTCATTCTTGGTTCAAATATATGCATTTTATTTACTTATACCTATATGTATATACTATATATATAGAGTGTAGTAGGGTAGGTCCCCCTCCAAGCATGGGCCCTGGGCAAGGGCCCAGCCTGCACTTGCCCAGGGCCGGCCCTGGTCGCTCAGCACACCGATATCCCCTTCGACTCTTTCTTCTTTCCAAACGAAGTGCGAATGCCAGACGCCGCTCAGCCTCCGCCGCACCGGACCACAGATTGAGGTAATGAGGTTGCTTGTACATTATGGGCCAATGTGTGTCAAATTTAATTTACTACCATTCATCTTTATGTCTGTCTATTCTCATTGCTACTTGGTAGTTTACCATTGTAAACTCAGATTTCATTTGTTATATGGTACATGGTAATATCAAATTTGTAGTGCCTAAGGTTATTGGAAATGTCTTGCCTTGTAAAAATTATACACTACTGTCAAATCATTATTCTTTATTTTGTGAAATCCAGAAGAAACGGCTGGTGTGCATCCTGCTCGGAGCTGTTTTTCCAACCATACAGTGAGCCAGGTTGCCAGGCATAGGTCGACCGGATTGTGAAAGAGAAGGCGAAGTGAATCGGCAGGGACGAACTCGAATTCCCAATGCCTAAGCCACTATCAAAAGAAGCTGCGCAGGCGCAGTTGAAGGATTTGGAGTTTCTTAAGCAACAACGGCAGACATAGCAGGCTATGATCTCAATGTAAAATCCTATGATTTGATACCATGAAAATGTAACAGATCAGATGGAGATCCACGCAACACAGAATACAACATTCTTTCTTCATTTATTCATCAGGAATTGAAACAGACAAACACAACTGCTTTTGATAGCAAAACCTAAACTCCTTAAAATTATCGATTCATTACACATGTGTTGCTAGACCCTATTGTTATTAAAAAATAAATAAAAAAAAAAAAAAAAAAAAAAAACAATTTGTCCGCCTTCTGCCGTTCCGGAAGAAGGCAGATTATAGTTTATTTATTTATTTGTTTTTATTTTTATTTTTTAACAACAAGAGGATAGCATGTGAAAAATAAAAATAAGAACTATTGTTTTATAGTTCGAAAAATTGTTGTTCATTAACGGAACTTTTGAATTCCCGTCGAGTCGTGCCCAATGTTAAAGAGTTCTAGACATGTTATGTAATATCATTTTTTATGTAATATATGATTTTAATAATATATTATAATAATTAAACTTTTATAATTAACTTCAAAAAAAAAACTTTTATAATTATCAATTAATTAAAATCTTGACATGTTGAATTTAAACTTGTAAAGTTAATTAAATTAGACTTTAGAATTGGCAAGTTGTCATAGCCCATACATGTACACATGTATAATGATTCTTCTATTATCGTCAAATTGCAGACCTTGTCACCAAATATACAACAACTAAACGACACAAAATTAATTTTTTTTAGCACATATACAGAACCATTATGTTAATTTTACTTTCCTTTTGATTTTAGACAATTGTTATATTGTGAATATATATCAACACTACCACAAAAAATATTATTTAAGTCTATTATTTTTAACTTACAGCGTAGATTATATTGCATAGTAAATCTTGTTGTAGTAGTAAATAAATGATACATCGTCGATTTTCCGAAATAGACGTCATATGTCATTTAAAAAAATTATCATAACATTTATAAGAATTACAAAAGAGATACAATGTCGATTTTTATATTTTTAAAAAAATCTGTACAACGCCGTTTTTTAGAAAAAAGCTAGAGTCGTATCTCTTTATTGAAAATATAAAATAAGATGTGACCATAAGTTTTTTTATAAAAAAAAAAAAAAAAAAAAAAACATCGTATCTTTATAAAAATTATATAATACTATACAACGTTGATTTTTCCTAAAAATCGATGGCTTATCTTATTTTTTAAAAAAAATAAAATTATGATAAATCGACGCGGTATTTCCCTTATTTATTAAATAGAAATTTTAGTATATAATTTGTTTATTCATAGAAATTCTAAAGAAAAGTAAACGTCACTAAAACTCAATCTGTTGTATTATGGAATACAAATATTATACAATTTGTATGACATTTGAGCTAATCCAATTATGGCACAATGAGAATATCGAGATATAGGCACTCGTAAATGCAATGAGAAAAGTTTGTTCATTTGGGTAATATGACAGGATGACAAAACACAAAACAAAAAAGAATGATAGAAAACAAGAATAATACTAGTAGAGAATTGACCAAAAAAAATGCAAGAATACAAGTCTTTACTATGTAACTAAAGACTTGTGAAGTAATAAAAAGAAATGCGGTGACAATTTTGTAAATATGTTAAAGACTTTACCGTCTTTACTTGCCTAGTAAAGACGCCTAATGTGCCGATTTTTTTTATTTTTGTTAATTGTGAGTATTATACACTACTTGATATATTTATCCAGACTTGTATACTCAACTAAGTCAACTTAAAAAAATATCTAAGTCAGTTACTTCTTCACTTTCACTGCTTCTTCACGTACTACATCTTCAGATTCATTTGCTTCTTCCTTAGCTTCACCGTTTACCAGTAGCTTCTTCTTTCACCGCCATCTTTGCTTTGTCGTTCATTACTTCACCATCGTCTTCCTACAATGGCGGCGACGGACTGTAGCAGCGGTGACGACTTTCTTCTTCTAGCTTCAGATCTGCGACGACCTTCTTCCTTCTTCTAGCTTCAGATCTGCGATGACTTCTTCTTCCATCTAGCTTTGGATCTGCGACGACGAGCTTCCGGTACATACTGCAACGGCAAGGCAGCTAGCTTCGATCTATTCGACCTTCTTCATACTTCCTGCTTCGTTCTACTTAAGAATATACAATATATGTATATGTATACGCATACGCCTCTGTGTGTAGATCTGAAAAGGGTTTGTGTTTTTTTGCAGGTCTTAGATCTGTGAAGGCATAGGTTGAGGGTGAAAGGAGAAAAGGAGGTGAGGAAAGGAAAACGAAGAAGAAGATGATGATTAGGGCTTCTGGAAGAGTAGGCTCTACTCTGTCAAACGGCATCGTTTCTCCCTGTCCAATTCTTGCAAATGTTGTCAAGGTTTGCAATGGACCATGAAGGAAGAACATGATGAGTATTATTGGATAAGGTGTTCTTCCACATCACAAGAGCTCTTCCTTCAATTGTTTTTGAAGTTGCCGTCTCCCAAGAGAAGAAGAATATGAATAACAAAAAAGATTATCGAAGAAGAGGACATCATTACTGTCTTTCTTACTTTCTAGCTTCTTAGATTATTAAATTAGATGTTGTTACTTTCAATTTATACAAGTGATCGAGAGTGGGTGATCACTAAATATTAATCTGACCAGTGACGATTGCAATCATTACGGCAATTTATATCCTACACCACGGCGCGCGTTGCACTATGCGCCCAGATGCAAAACAACGTCGTTTTAAATTTATTTACTTTTTTGAAATTTTCCACCCCAGTGTATAGCAGTTAATTTTTCTTTAAAAAAAACTCATGTTCAAAAATGTACATAATGTTATATACTAGAATACACATAATTATTTACATGAATGTACATAATTATATAACAAAATATACATATTATTTTTAAAAGATAATACACATAATCTAACATAATACATAATAAATATAAACTTTTAACATAATACACATCAACTCTTAACATAATACACACAAATTTTCTGATTCGGATGTACATAATTGTATAAAAAGAATGTACATAATTGTATAAAAAATGTACGTAACTGTATGAACAAATATACATAATTGTATGAACAAATATACATAATTGTGTGAACAAATATACATAATCACAGCAACTTCCTATCGCGCCTCCCAAAACGACCTCAAAACACCATCGTTTTGGGAGGCGCGCGACGCACAATGCTACGCGCGCCGTGGTGTAGGGTATAACGATTGAATCATTACAGACATTATGTTAGGCATAAGGCCCAATCGAATAACTACTTCTAGTTATTCAGTCCAATTAGATTACTTAACATGCACATCACAGTTAACTTAAACCACATAATTAAGGCCCAATTGTTATACCATAGACCAAGGTTCATAGTGCATTATAAACCTTGATACAAAAATTTTGTGACTTCAGTTAACACATTATGTATTTACCGTTGACACGTAATATAATAACTACAGGTACATAAACTATCAACTGCAGGTACATAATGTGTCAACTATAGATACGCAGAATATGTCAACAATAAATATAGAATCAGAAGGTTAATTTTGGATAATTACTGACACATAATATGATAGCTACATGTACAGAAATTAACAACTGCAGAAGAATTACATACCAAACACTAGTACACTACAATAAAAATATAAAATGACAACAACAAAATTAAAACAGTAGAAAAACACAACAAAAACCACAATCATAAAATAAGAGAAACTATATTATATTGCTTCAAGCTTACCTTGCTGAATTGCTTCATCTAACCGCTCCTTTTTTATTATTGCACTTTCACATACAGTCCCCAAGTACTAACCTTACAAGCCATCGATGTTTTTCATACTTAAATATAAGATATCCAATGGTAATTACGTACCAAAGGGTATGCCAAAACAGTACCCAACAATAACATTTCGCCATCCAAATTGAACATTTCCAGCAGTGAACTATGAAAAGATTATTAAACTAAAATTATAACTTGCAAGTTAGACAACGAAATTCAAATAATAAGTGATCAGAATTACAAACCAAACACAACAATCACACAACAAACACAACATAAAAATGGTAGAAAAAGACAATGAAAACCACAACCATATAATAACAGTACAGATACTATACATTGCTTCAAGGTTGCTGAAATTCCTCATCTGCTTGTTCCTTCTTAATTGTTGCATCTCCAGTCCACTCTCAGTTCCCAACCACTAACCTTATAAGCCATCGAGGTTTTCCATACTTAAATATGAAGTATCCTATGGCAATACCAAAGGTAAAGCCACAACAGTATCCAACAACAACACTTTGCCAATCAAATTTCATCCCAAAATCTTCTGAATCCTTCTCATCCGGTGCTTGCCCTTCACCTTTGCTTTCGCATTGTAAAGTTAGGGGGAACCCACATAGAGACATGTTTCCCAGATAGGAATCATTACTAAATGTGTCAAATTGGAAACCATGAGGTATAGGACCAGAAAGATGATTATAAGAAAGATTTAATACAGCTAGAAATGTCAATGATCTTGAAAGTTGTTCAGGAATCCCTCCTACTAATTGATTGGATGACAAATCAAGTACCTCAAGAAAGGTCAAATTTTCCAATGATGATGGAATATGACCAATGAGCTGGTTGTGTGATAAATTGAGAAACTGGATGAAACGAAGCCTTCCTAAAGATTTTGGAATTTCACCATGGAAGTAGTTATTAGATAAATCAAGGGCTGTGCAAATATTATAATGCAACACCTGAAGCTCTACCCTCTTCCACACTAGGCTTATTGAATCATCATAAAAGTAATCCAATATTTCACCATCATTGCCATGTTCCATGGCATCAAAATTCTCCATATAATGCCTTGGCAAAGGACCAATAAACTCATTGTGTGAGATATCAAATATATGCAATTCTGGGAATGGAAGTGCAGTGTTCGAAGATAATATTTCACCATAAAAGTGATTAGATCTCAACACAAGAACATGCAAATTAGTAAAAGTATCTAACCAATGAGGGAATGAATCTCTTAAATTGTTGTTTCCAAGATCTAAAACTTCAAGAGAACTGCAATTTACCAAGCCTCGGGGCAATAACCCTTCCAAGTGGTTGCCATTCAAATTGAAATACAACAAGTTGTTTCCATTTGTGCATGCTCCTGAAATAGTTCCCTGAAATTGATTTCTTGATAAATTTATAACCGTAAGTTCCTTGCTGAAGTTTTCTAAACACACCGGTAGTGGACCGTGTAAATTATTATCAGACAGATCAAGAAATTGCAAGTAACTCAAACTGCACAACCATGTCTCTGTTTCATAAATCAAACTGGAATTTATCTTTTGGTTTATGAGATACCCAAGGGTTGGAGTTGTAGCTATCGTGCCTTTAAGATGGTTTTTAGAAACATCTAAAGTTTCCAAAAATTTCAATTTTCCAAGACATTGTGGAATAACACCTCCCAAATTGTTGTTGGATAAAAATAGTACTTCAAGAGAATTTTTAAGATTGCACAGTGTCTCTGGAATATTTCCTTCCAACATGTTATTGGTAAGAGCCACGTAACTAAGTGAGGATAAATTTCCAAAACAGTGTGGAATAAGACCTCTCAAACCATTTCCATGTACATTGAGTTTAACAAGGGAGTGAAGTTTGCAAAGTGTTTGAGGGATAACTCCATGCAACATGTTGGAGAGAAGATAAAGACAATGAAGTTACATTTCCCAGACATTGAGGAATTAGACCACTCAAAGTATTGTTAGATAAATTGAGATACTCAAGGGAGTGATTGAGTGAAGTTTGCAAAGTGTGGTAGGAATACTTCCTTGCAACAAATTGGATAAGAGATAAAGATTTCTCAGTGAGGTTGCATTTTCCAAACACTCCGGAATTGGACCACTCATATTATTGTAAGATAAAGAAAGAAGTTTAAGGGAGTGAATATTGCATATGCTTTCAGGAATATGTCCTTGCAACATGTTGTAGCCGAGATGAAAATTGATTAGTGAGCTTAGATTTTCAATTGTAGGAGGTATTGACCCATAGAAACTGTTTTCACTTAGGTCAAGTTGTTTAAGCTTGGATAGCTTGACTAAACTTGTTGGAAATGGCACATGGAACAAATTTCCCCCACAATCAAAAGTTTGAAGGTTGCTCAAATTGGAGAATATTGCTTTTGGAATTTGGTCAGTCAAAGAATTTCCATTTAAGGAGAGGAAAATAAGGTGTTGAAGATAGCTTATTTGGGATGGAATAGTACCATTAAGGTTGTTTCCGTCAAGGTTCAACAACCGGAGCTTTGTTAATCTTCCAATCTCTGATGGTATAAAGCTTACAAAACGGTTCCAACTGAGGTCCAAGAAAACTAGGTGGGAGAGATTAGCAATAGCATATGGAATTGATCCAGTGAAGTTGTTATTATAGAGACTAAAACGGGTGAGGTTTGGAAATGAAACGAAGTCTAGACTTTCAAGTGTACCTGAGATGCTGAAATCATTCAGCTTTATCTTATAAACAGCTCCAACATTGTTGCAAGTGATGCCCGTCCAGTTCCAGCAGATGTTGTGAAGTTTAGCAATAGACCAAGAATGAAGAACATGATGATTATTGAGAAAGGTGTTCTTCCATTCGAGAAGGGCTCTGCCCTCAATTGTTTCAGAAGTTGCAGTCTCCAAAGACAGTGAAAAGAGAAGAAGAAAATGAAAAGCGAAACAAACCAACATATGACAAGTGGTCATTAGATCACTATGTTTAAACAGCTAGGATGTTGTTTAATAAGTTGTGTGGTGGTGGAGGTGAATATGTAATGTAGCCTATTTATATAAGTGGCATTGAAAAGGAGTATGCATTAGTAGTGATGAGGGTCGGGAGATGGCAAGCCGCCCTCATGGTGTGGGCAGTGTTCAGTGACAAACCAAAAATCCCGCCAAAATATCTCCAAACGTGTTGTACGCCGCTGCACTGAAGCAGGCAATGCTCCAGACTCGCAACATTTCTACGACACAAAGGACACATTGAAGGTCCACAGAAACCAAACTTCTCAATTATATCAGGGAATGGAAGCAGCCGTTTTAGCAATCTCCACATAAACACGGATATCTTAGGCGGTATCTCCTTCCCCCAAATACAAGCCTATGATAAAACACGCCCCGCTTTCGCCCGGAGGAGCTCATACGTAGAGGTGAAAGGAAAACTCCCAAAGGTGGACGGGGAAAAATTATGCTGTGCATCCATGGTGCACACGGATGCAAAAACGACGTCGTTTGGATTAAAAACGCACGTCCAACTTAAAAAAAAAAAATCAGTTTCGATTCCCGTCAACAACATTATGTTGTGCATAATTTCTGAATGTATAGTTATGAAATTATGGATGCATAGTTATGCAATTCTGGATTTATAGTTATGAAATTATGGATGTGTAGTTATGCTATTCTGAATATATAGTTATGAAGTTATGCAATTCTGGATTTATAATTATGAAGTTATGGATATGTGGTTATGCAATTCTGGATGTATAGTAATGAAGTTATGGATGTGTAGTTATGCAATTCTGGATGTATAGTTATGAAATTATGGATGTGTAGTTATGCGAATTCTATTTATTTTTTTTAAGTCGACGTTGTTTTTGCATCCGTGTGCACCATGGTGCACAACATAACGACTCGTGGACGGGGCCCATATTAATTCACCCGCTGCAGAGACCACATTCTCATCAACAAAATCCCTTATGTAGAGCATGCGGCGCCAAGTGACAGAATCAGTAGCTCTAGGCAAATCGTCTGGATATCGGGCCTTTAGAAAATCGTCTAGATATCTGAAGTAAAGACTTTTAAATGCACTTGAGAGGTTTAAAATTTTCAAACTTTATCTCATAAACAGCTCGGCACAGCTGTCGAAGTAGTATTTTTCAAATTCAAGTTCAAAACCTTCTCCTAATTGTTTTATTTGTCCAACTAGTATGTCACCCGTACGATGCACGGATAGTAACATATATTCAATAATTATATTATTATATTATTTATAAAATTTATATAGTGCAAAATAAATAAATTATCAAAATTTTATATGATATTCTAACAATCTTCTATTATGATAAAGTATATATCGATACATTGTATCAAATTTTGCTTTATAATGAATTAGTCTTCGATTAATTAAAAAAAAATGACTACAGACTCATTACTTATCAACATATAGACTCCAAAAATACCATGGTGATACAAAGAAAACTATACCAAAAAAGTCACCGAGATTGAACCCAAAGTTGTGGGTATTTATAGACAAAGGGATGACACCTAAAAGCTTCTGTGCAAAATGATTTTGGCAGACACAAATTTTGAATTTGGAAATTTTGATTGAATGTAATTAGCACAACAAATAATGTATTTGGCTACCCAAAAGTATTGGAAGTTGCATATATTAAACTATTGCACTGAATGTAATATTTATAAATGCAAGCTATGTGTGTTACTTCAAGTTTCCAAAGATAATATATTTGTTTGGTAAATGCATGTCATATGTGTTGCTTCTTATGAATATTAATAGGGAAAATTTTAATGTATACCCCGCCATAATATGCCAATTATTAATGTCATTCCTTAATTATTAGTGGTGTAAATGTTACCCCTCAATTTTCAAAACGTATATATATTGCCCATTTTTACCGAACAGGCAACATTTACACTACGGGATAAGCAATATATGGACCATTTTGAAAATTAAAGGGCAATATTTACACCACTAATAATTCAGGAGTGACATTTATAATTGGCATATTATGGAAGGACATAAATTACAATTTTCCTATATTGATAATAATTTACATTCTCAAATATATATATATATATATATATATATATATATATATATTAATTTCAATAGAATTGATATTTTCATCTTATTTGGTTTTAATGATAAATTATATCATGGACCAAGGTTCGCCTTGCATGGTCGATCCTGGTCCAAAACAATGTCGTTTTATATTAAGTGTCAATTAGTACACCATATTTAATAACATTATTATGTACTATGTTCACAATATTTGTTTTATATCTCCAAAAAAAAAAAAAAAAAAAAAAAAAAAAAACAATATTTGTTTTATATGTCAATAAACCGAATCTTAATGTTCATAAACACTAAACTAAGTTTACATCATATGTATTTTTATTCACTCTATAATAGGTTCATAATATTCCTTCAATATATTCACAAAAAGAAAACTTATTGTACATAAATATTATATTACAGACGCATCATATTTAATAACATTCATCATATACTATATTCAAAATATTTGTTCTATATGTCTATAAAGTAACATAAACCTTAATGTTCATAAATAGTAAATTAAATGTACATCATGCATGTATTTTCTTTCACTCTATAGTAGATTCATAATGTTCTTTATATATGCACATAATAATATTTAGAGAAACTTGTAATTTTCGTTCCGAAGTTATAAGATAATTGTAAGATTCGTACCTACTTGTTGGTTGTGCTTACTTTTCGTCCCTAAGCTATAATTAGTGTTGCAAATTTTGTCCCTTTTTCTAACAAACATTAATTTGCAACGTTAGAATAGCTTAAGGACGAAAAGTAAGCACGACCTGTTAGAAAAATTAAAGACAAAATTTACATTGTCAATTATAGCTTAGGGATGAGAAGTGGGCATGACCAACAAATAGGAATGAATTCTACAATTACCCTATAACTTAGGGACGAAATATGCAAATTTTCCTAAAATTTATCGTGTACTGTGTTCATAATATTTGTTATATATGTTCATAAATCTAAACCTTAATGTCCATAAATAAACTAAACGTACATCATATGCATTTTCGTTTACTCTATAATCGATTCATAATACTCTTTCTATATGTTCATAAAAGCAAAGCTTAATATACATAAACATTACACTACAATAATTATTTTATTTACCTATAAATTTATTTTTTAAAACAAAATTAAAATATATCAATATGAGTGTCATTTAAAATATTTTAATTAAAATTTTTTTATAATAATTTTTTTATAATAATTTTTTTATACATTAATTTTATTTGTACAAAAAGAAAAAGAGAAAAATAAATTCCAGTTGAAAAAAAAAGTTATAAGAAGCAAAACCAAGGATGTGTTAGGTGCATGTAACAATTTCATTGGTCAAGTCCTATATTTAGTTTTAATACCTAATTTTATATTTTTATATTTGGAAGATAACTTTTAGAGAGAAATTGCACCAATATCATTTCGCACACTCTATAACTATCTTATGGTTAAGCGGCATAATTTTGGCCCTTCCAAATAAGACGTCAAAAGTTCTAACACCAATAGAAACATTGATTCTTCGTACTTTAGTAGGTTGAAAAAGTATGTATGGACAAAAATTACATTGTACTCCCACCGTCCCATTTTTTTTTTTTAAAAAGGTAATTCAAAGTAAAAAAAAAAAAAACAAAAAAAAAAAAAACAAAAAAAAAAAAACAAAAGAAAAAAAAAGGCAATTCAAAGTATATCATTGCAAGATTATATAGGAGAAGTTCATTATAGTTGGCATTAAAATTTAGAATTAATGTTTGCACTTTTCTAAAAAAAAAATTGTCTAAATACTTATTGTAATGGTATGGTATTAGGTAGTAGATACTACTTTTAGTTCGAATTACTATAAGTTTTGTTAATTCGCTTTTGGATAGGTTTGCCATTGTCTTTGTCTTCAATACCTGCTTGTCTATTTTTTTTATTTTTTATTTTTTAATATGTAGGTAGTGTCTCATGTGCAATTGGCTTACTAGTGCTAGTTTGCAAAAAGAACATATTTGAATCTAAAATAGGTCAACAATATTATTATTATTATGGGTGATTATTGTTTCAGTTTCATAATTATATTGGATTTAAAGATGCTGACTTTATTGTATAAGTTGCAAACACGAATAACATCTGAATAATGGGTATGCATTACTTGCGCAAATTGAATTATGAAAATATACCAAAAGAAGTGATAGAGAAGTGAAAAATCATATTATCGACATATCTCTTTCACTTATATCTGGGAGAAGGCTTAGCTAAAGGGAGCCAATGATGCACACTACTTTCAATCTGATTCATCCAACAAAAAAAAAACTCTTGAAGGCTCGACAAATTCCCCAACTCTAGAGGATTCAATCATGAAATCTGGGTTGTATGAATCTGCAATTGTACTAAACTTCTTACATATGATAGAACATAGAGGATTGAACCAGAAACATTGTTGTTACTAAGCATGAGCCACCACTTATTGTGATGGAATCAATTGAAGAGGCAAGCACTGCTGATGAATTAAATGTCTTAGGAATCAAAGATCTTGGCCGGTGTGGCTTAACCAATTGCTGCCACTCCCTTGTTTCCTACGTTTGCTTAAATACTTCATAAGGTTGATGAAGCTAGAGCAGATCAAATGTTGGCCAATTAGATGCAGTTGGTGACTTCAGCATCAAAGAATCAATTTCAAGCGTTAATGAATTTGACAGTGGCATTGGTTCCTGTAGAGTAAGTGTTCCTGTTCTAAAAGCCAAGTTTATGCAGCAAAAGCTTCATGAAATCATAAAATCATAAAAAAAATTTCTCTGTATTATGCAGTTCTTTTGCTCTCATATGAGGATTTGTATGTTCTGAACATTTAAAGTGGTGTGGGTCTTTTGGATCAGGAAAGTTTAATTTGCTTAATCAGATTCTCCATTTTACTGCTGGGGAAGAATTAAATATG